TATCATTGAAAAATTCTACTAATATTTAATGAAAAAAAATTCATACTTTCTTCTTCCAAGAAGTAGGAGAAAAGAGGTCACTTTCCAGCAAAATTTTTGACGTCACTATAACTGACACACTGAAACCAGACAAAGACAATACAAGAAAAGAATAATACAGCTTGCTAATCTGTAAACTCAAGATCATAGTCATAAAAAATCTTCAATAAAATATTAGTAAATTTAATCCAATATATAGAATTAATAATACATGATGACCAAAATAAGGTTTATTTTAGGGATGTAAGTTTAGTTCAACATTTAAATATCAATAATGTAGTTAATCATATCAACAGAATAAAGAAAAAAATTTGATTTCTCTCAGTTGATGCAGAAAAAGCATTTTATGAAATTCAGTGTGCATTTACAGTAGGAAATAAAATTAAACTCTCAACAATCTGGAAACAGCTAAGGGCTCCCTGCAAAATGATACAGGACATCTACAGTAAATCTTACATGAACAGCACACTCAACTATGAAAAGATAAATATTTTCCTACTAAAACTGGAGAAAGGCAAGACTGTTTTTCTCACAACTATTAAAGATCATAATGGAGATCCCAGCCTGTGGAATAAGGTGAGGAAAAGAATAAAAAGACATACTGATTTGAAACAAATCAGTGAAATTGCCTCTATCTGTAGTTGGCATGATTGTTTATGTGGAAAATGAAACTGTAAAAGTTACTAGAACTAATCACTCAGTACAGTAAAGTCACAGTATGCAAAGCCAACATACAGAATTCTGCTGCATTTCTGAATATATGTAACAAACAATTGGAAATTTCAAAAATTATACAAATTATTACAATAAAACCAAAAATACATGATTTTATTATAAATCTGACAGAATATGATCAAGCTCTACCTGTTGAACACAGCAAAACTGATGAAACAAACTGAAGATGTGTAAATGGAGAATTATATTTTGCTCATGGATTGGAAGCCACAGTATTTTTAAGATGTGAAACACCTATTAATTAATGGGAGAAATCTACAAGGTGATTCCAAACTATAAATGGAAGGGCAAAGAAATTAGAACAGGCCAAAGAATTTTAAAAATAAAAAAGGAAAAAGTTAGAGGACTCACTTGTTCTGTCTATTTTTTATTTGTTGTGTGTCTACTATACACTTAAAGGCAAAATGAGAGCTACTTATTCAAAACGTAACAAAAAATAGCAATGTTAAATAATCGCAAAATTAGAAACACAATTCAAAACTTCTAAAGAGGCGGGGAATTGATGTTTTGTTACCTGGGGGTTGAATTTCATATATAATTTTACTATACTTAACATCATGATTTCTGCAAAGCTATGTCTTCAAAACATAACAAGACACCTTTATTGTTTTCCTCACCTAGTAAATTCCAAGGATGTTAGGAACAATGTACAAAAATGGAGGATGAAGATCGATCAAATATGTATTTTTTATCATAATGTTACAATCACTCTTCAGACCATTTAAAACACAAATAAGTGAAGGCAGATTTTGGCTATAGACATTATATCTATATTCGTAGAAATTTGAAAACCAATTATTTTTCTTAGTAAGTACTTTATTTTTATGTCTTCAAATACAAGTATTATTTTACAATTATTTTCTC